GTGGCGGTGTTGGGGGTGTTTGCCCTGGGTGATCTCGGTGGCGGTGTTGGGGGTGTTTGCCCTGGGTGATCTCAGAGGCGTTTTCCACCCCTGGTGACCGTACGCCAAACGAGCTGTGATTCTCCCCCGATGGAAGCAGTTCGGTTTCGTTGCTCAGTGTTGATTACTCGGGGTGCCGGCAGGAGGGAGGTTTGTTGTGGGTGAGGTCGGCAGAGGTCGGGTGTTTTGAGCTCGCTGTTGCCAGGTTCCGAGCCGAGGTGAAAACTGATACTGCCAGGTAAGGAACACTGTTTGTCGTCAGTATTTGTTGCACTTCAGAGGGGACAGCAGGCTGGGTTTACCACTCGCGTTCCTGTTTGCACCAACGCTTTGTGTTGTGTTGCTGTCTGAGCTCTCCTTGGCTGCTGAAAACGTGCTGCGACCATGCTAACAAAGGTGTTAGAAATAATTCACAATACTGAACAAATCTGTTCTAAATTGTGGTAATAATAAACTACTTATTTAGGCACGGTAGCATGAAATCTGCGTTTACTATGTGCAAATAGTTAGACTTGTGTCATTGCATAGTCAGTGATCAAACCCAAGAGTTTTTAGAGTATAAAGTGTCAAAAAGTGATAAGAACAAGGTGCTGACATAAGGGACCACTGGGATGAAGCAAGGCTCTGCCTCTCTGGTCTTGCAGCAGAGGTTGCAGTCACTGCTGTCTGCTGACCTTAATTTTTGTTTACTCTTTGGAGATCCTTGTACTCCAGTTAGGGATTTTATGTTCAGCTGGTGATCAAGAGCCTAATAGTGAAAATACCATTTAGTTTGATGGATTATGTTGTCAAAGAAGATTTGTTTGGACCAATGAATAAGTGTATTTACAGATCTTGTCTGCGTGATTACTTTTTTTATTGCAAACAACCAGAATTTTAACTATTGCACAACACTAGTCTAACTTTGTGTACTCCCCTTGGCTCCTGTGCTGACTTCTCAGTGGAGAATAAGAGTGTTGAAAATAGAAGTTAAATTAGTATTAAATTTTCTTAAATAATCTCTATTAGAGTAGAAATTTAAATTGCTGCTTTTATTGGCAGCACTGTTTAGACTACAATGCTACTAATAATGTAAACTAAATCTGTAAAGTGCAGAGTTCCCCTTGTTCTCCATCAGGCTTGTCTTTTTAGTATTTGTGCTTTCAAACTACAGCAGATTCTTATCCAGGCAGCTTCTCTCTCTGGTTATTTTCTCTGTCCTTCCCAGATCGATGCAGATTGCTAATTTATCTTGGCAGAGCTTGGGAAGAAGGCATGCAGGGCTTTACTTTTGTGTAACACTGAAGTTTTAGTTAGAGGCTAATGTGTTTTGGTACTGACTTTTTAAAAATAGATTAATAGATTTCTTTGCGAACTCTATTTCTTTCTTTTATCCATTAGAAGTTTTGGAATGTATGCGAGGAGAGGGAATAATTTACGTTAAATCATCATCATCATTTTATGTAGGACATAGGCGTTCCTCACAGCGCACGAGAAACGACCACCAGGTTTTTGGTCTGTTGTGCGTCTGTGCCTCAACGCGCTCGTTGGCGGAGCGAGGTCTGCGAGCGGGGGCGGCGGGTGCGCTGTGCCCGCTCCGGAGCCCGGCACGGGCGGAAATGTCCGCGCCCCTGCGAGCCCGGGAGGGCACAGCCCGGCCCCTGCGAGCCCGGGAGGGCACGGCCCGGCCCCTGCGAGCCCGGGAGGGCACGGCCCGGCCCCTGCGAGCCCGGGAGGGCACGGCCCGGCCCCTGCGAGCCCGGGAGGGCACGGCCCGCCCTGCACTGCACAGCCCTGCGAGCCCCGCACTGCACAGCCCAGCCCCTGCGAGCCCGGGAGGGCACAGCCCACCCTGCACTGCACAGCCCTGCGAGCCCGGGAGGGCACAGCCCACCCTGCACTGCACAGCCCGCACTGCACTCAGACTTCCCGCGGCACATCCACCGCTTCTGAAATGTGGAGCCATGCTCTGAAGGGAATTCGTTGTTGTAATTTTAGACTTAGCTGTGTGAGGTTTATGTTTAAGCGATGTGCTCCTTAAGTAGGTAGTGCTCCATATCTCTAATAGCATTTGTAAAGAACCTCCTCAGTTGTGTCCTGGAAACATTTCCTGACAAAGCTTTTCCTTTGTCTTTTTCAAGCAATGGAAAGATTAGTGAGAAATTACTTAGCTTTGTCAAAACTTGTTGGATCTTGCATATGATGCTTGTTTCTTTTAGGATAGATTTAAAATAAAACTCTAGTTGAGGGTATTAGTAGTTTAAATTATATTTTCTTCTGAATGAAATACATTTCAATGGATGTTAGACTTTCTTTACTTTAGATGTAATGAAATCATTCTGCTTTATTTATTTAACTGCTAGGGAAAAAATAATTCATGCGTATACATTACACTCCTACAGTTACTAGTTGTAGGTTTTGTTTTCTATTTGTTCTGAATACTGAAATCCCACTGGTGTTAGTGAGTACTCAGTACTTAAGGATCTTAAAGGCCATATAGTAAGTCTGAAGCCATTTATAGCTACACTGTAGCAAGTTTTTATTAAAACATTAATTTTTCTCATCAGAATTGTTCTTTTTATCTTAAAATGTAGTCTGAATTGGTAACAGTCTGTCAACACTGATAAGAACTTACTCTTTGCTTTAATGAAGCTTATTTTTCTTTTTTCTTTTTTCTTTTTGTTTGGCTTAAATAAAGTAATCATGACTCAAAAACAGTTCAGGGGAAATGTGTAGAAACTTTGAACTATTTTCCCTAACTGTTTTCGTTTCCCTAAAGGTTTGTCTGCATGTGATTTGCCTAAAACTTTCTGGGCCATGTCTTTCAGTTGAGGCTTTCACTATTTTTAATTGCTTAATCATATGCAGATCATATATTTTTTTGAAATAAAACATGACTTTTACTTCCTATAAAATAGCCTTTTATGGTTAGTTTTAGGAAAGTGACAGTGTTCCAGATATTTGTGACACAATTCCAAATTTGGACACCTGAGTTGTTTTGCTCCTTTGCTTTAAGGAAAGATCATTAATAAGTCACCCATTATCAGAGATCAGATGGATAAACAGAGGAGAGTCTCAGCTCAAGAGAGTGAGGGTGGCCTGTTGACTGATCAACATCCTTTCCTGTTATTTGTTAGCCAGTTTACATTTCTTTCACAGATGAAGAGTTTGAATTTCTTCTGTTTCCATTTTTGGTTGGCTCACTCTTTTTTAATGGTTTCTTACTTGTTGCCCTCTACAGGCTTTCCATGTGCCAGGCAGCAATACAGATCAAGTCCTGTAAATCGTGCCAGAGTTGTGTTTGCTGCCCTTGAGGAGGAGAGGAGTGGACAGGATTCTTTGTAGCTTCCTGCCTTAAGGGGTGAGGGCCTCTCTTGTTTGGCTGTGGTGGAGTTTTATTGTTGCTGGCTTTTCTACAATGGAATATGAACTGTGAGGCAAAGCAGTCAGCCCAGCTGCCTTCTTCCTGTGTGAACTGGTATAATAATAACAAGTGTATCCAAATCCACTCTGCTGTCTGACATACAAGCAGGATGTTTGCTGTAAACATGAGATTAAACTAAGCTTTTTGGAATGTTTGTTTTATTAAATTCATCTCTGGGGATGCTGAGGGAATATTAAAATAATGAGCATAAACATGGTTATTTAAGTACATTTTCTTAATTTTAATTATATGGTAAATGGACATTTTTCTGTGAAACAATAAATTTCAGGAACCTGTGAAGTTAAACTGTGACAGCTTTTCTAAGCTTAGGTAAGTAAAAACTAAAGGTATCAAAATTGTGGATATGCTTTAGTCAGCACTGCACTGTGCATGTGTAAATGGGAGGAAAAAAATTAATGCTGGTGCCTTGTTTAAATGTATTTGTCAGGTTTATTAATCACAAAACTTACACAGATATTCTTGCTCTGTGTTCTTGCACTCATGGGTAACTTTATTTGTTCCTTAGCATTTTTACTCTTAGGAAAATTTTCTGTTAAACTGAGGGAACTTTTGTGTTAGCACAGTGGATTTTTGAGAGTTCAGTCAAAGTGAACTGGGATTCAGAGCAGGGTGTTTATTCTTCCAGAGCTGACAGCAAGATGCAATCCTTTAGTTGAGTCCATGGAAGACAGGCAGGTGCTGGGACCTGGGTGGCTCTGGGACTTGCAGAGGATGTTGATGAATGCCTGCTCTGTGAACTTCGTGAATCAGGAGTCTGGAACTCCATCCTGCTCTCCAGGTGACTGCTGTAGTCACTAAGCTCGAGCTGTTCTGGCATCTTTGAGGACTGTCTGTGCTGCCCATTGCTTCATGGCCAGAAATAGATAACTTTTTCTGACTGAGCTGACTGCAAAGGTCGCATGGCCCTTGCTGTCTGAATTCCCTCCTGGCTGCTCTAAAGAATTTCTTGTTTGGATGCTTTCCCCCTTTCTGTATTTAGTTAGGGGTGCTGCTTTGTCATCCCTGCTGGTTGTTTGTTGGATTACTTGTTTTCTCTGTTCATCTGATCTTATAAGAGTTTGGAGCTCTCTACATATCTGTCTTCTGTAATACTTCTCGTGCTTTTTATGTAGCTGAGGACTGTGCTGTAAAGAGAGTTTATGAGCCAGGTTTTGGGTAACTGGCTGAGCTGTGTGGGGAGAGCCTGAGCCTGGTCATGTGGCCCGGTCACTTGCCTAGAGCCAGTAGTTCAGGGCCTCTGCTCTGTAAACCAGAACAAAGCTGCCTTCTCCTGTGATGACTGAGAAATCTATAAACTGTGGAAACCTTTGGTTCACATAAACATTGGCCTGTTTGATTTTCATGCCCCAAAGAAGGAGCTGGAATAGCTGACAGCACACTGATAGTGCAGTTCCCAGCTCAGGGAGCTACAGATTTTTGCAAGCAAACACAAAGACCATGAAACATCTTCTTTCAGATGGTTTATTGTTTTTTGGCTTGTCTTCTGATATTTTGAAGATTTTCTGTGGATGGAGGCAGGAAATCAGCTAATGTGGGCTGGCATCCTCTTGGCTTTAGAAAAAACTTTCAAGTGCCTAATTAATGAGCCTTGCTTGTATATTTGGGAAAATTTCTTTGACAGATTGCATATTTGGAAAAGATTTTTGTGATGTCATTTTGGTTAGGACAGTTGGGTGATTTCTTGCAGAGAGGTATATGGTTTGAATCTTTGAAACATTTAGGCATTTTCATCATGCACATTCCTACTAGCCTTAAAATTAGTGATTTTTTTTTTTAATTTGCCATCTTTTATTTTCTAAGTCAATGGCCATCCGTATTTTGCTTTATTATAAGCTGATGGTGGCTATTTTCTTGAGTGAATGTTTTAAATACTTCTGTCCTGGAAAGGTTGCAGATAGAGGTCTTTTCTATTTGTGAATATTGTTGGATATTTTGGGGGAGGGCAGTTTTCTGGGTGTGCATGGTGTTTTTTGGTCAGTCTTACTGGCTGTTGAGGAGCTAAATATTAGCTGGCATTTTTTTCTTAAGCTGGACAAAAGAAGCTGCAGATTAATTTTTTTTATAAATATTTTTAAACTGTTTTACATAAAAAAGTTCATATGATAACTGAAGTTTCAGCAGTACAGTTTATGCTTTATGATAACTAGCAGATATAAATAACAGGATATCAGATAGATGCTTCCTGTCATCTGACTTTGGAGAAGGAGCATAATAATAATTTGTTTTCTTTAGAAGCTTTCTGGTTTGTTTTCATTCCAGACTCTATACTAGTGAGTAATAACACTCACTAAAGACAGAATATGCAACCCCCCAGACATTACTTTGAAACGAATAATTTCTCTATCTTGAAGAAGTAGCTTTTTAGGGTCAGAGTTATTTGTTAAAAGGTGGTCATGTTGCTTTACCTTTGTATTTTGTCCCAACTTCAGGCTTCTGTTGTCTAGGATATATGGTGTTTATATTTAGTCTGAACTTCACAGCTCTGCAGCATTGCTTTTAAACAAGCAGGAAAGTTTTGAAAAAAATACTATGTTGAAATCAGTATGACTACCTGTGTGCACAAAGTTCTCTAGGAAAAAATGTGATTTATATTTTACACCTAAGTTGCTTTTCCTACATGCACTTTCTAGTTCAAAGCTTGAGTTTTAAGTTTTTCCTCCAAGATAGGTACCAGATTTGAGAGCTAATGAAAGTCTTGTGTGTAAGAAAAGGAGAATATGGAAAGAACACTTAGTGCTATGGTATGTGCTCCTATCCTGTGGCTTCTTGCTGTTTGTGTGCTAGTTTTAGGCTGGTGTCTCTTGTTAGGAGGGACTCTGACCTCTGGCCTTAAGCTTGACTCATACTGGATTTCCTCCTTCTGATTTCTTTTTGCAAACTATACGTTCCATATATGCTATTGTTCGTAAGGCTGACTGTGGGATTTGATAACATGCTTAACCATACTGACTTTGCTCCTTGCCTCTGTGTTCACAGAGCTGTTCTAATTGTTGTGTGGGAAATAGCAAAACTAGAGAGGCCAGTTGATAGCAAATATCCTGGGATATTTTTGGTAATCTGTATTTTTACATATTGAACCCTGCCATTAGTATATCATTATTGGCATTCTTAATGTTAATGCAGGTCCCCCAACTTCCTTTGGTGTTGGTCACAGTATTAACTATGCTCTTATGGTTTTTTGATGTGGAGATTTCTTCAAAGGGTTGTTTACTTCCTACACTTTAATTTTGTGTCTGTGGGACTGTATGGTTAAGTAGATCGCTAAAACCACCCCCAAGTTTTAAACACGTGGGCCCTTCAATACATTTGCTTCTGTAAGTGGTTTGGAGAGGGGAGGAAGCATGGCAGGGTATCTCTTAAACTAGTTCTGCCATTTGAGGAAATGTGTGTGTAACCATAATCCATAATTAAAGTTAATTAAGCTTTAACCTACAGCAGGAACATATTTTGAAGATGTACCAATTTATTTTAAAATGAAGTATTTTTTCAATGTTTATATCCCAGGATGTTGAAAGATTAATGTAAAAGTAGTACAATAAATTAATTTCAGAATATTTCATTAGGCTACATCATACTTGGTTCTTTCAGCACTTATAGGAAAGAAAAGGAAACTGAGACTGCCTGGGCTAAAATGAAAAATGCTGAATGACTTGAGGGGGGAAAGATTATTTCAATTAATCTTTCTTTGTGATGCATGAGATAAGGAAATGTGACTAATATATTGGTGTATTATGTTCTGGGTGTATTTGGGTGACTTTCCCTGCAACAAGCTGATAACTACTGGAAAAGGTCACTGTTTCCTTGTTCATTAAATTGGAACAAACCAGCAGTGGTGGGATGGAAAGGGGTTTGGAAGTTTTGCCAGAATGGAGATTTTTTTAGCAATTGAGAGAAAGGCAGCATTGCATGAAGACATGAAACATTCTTGAAACTTTAGAAATGCTCTTTCATCTTGATGGTCTTTTAGTTGGAGTAAAGGAGTAATGGTCAGTGTAACTGTTCCTTGTAATTATTTAATGTTGACAAGAAACTGTCAATATTTAAATTCCTTTATTAACTTCTAGGTTTCTCAGGACTCTTGTGGTAGCTATTATTTTATAATAACAAACAGTAGGTGCCTCTGCACTTGACTTGGTTGGTTACCTTGCAGTTGGAGCAATCTTGCCTGGTTATGTGGTTCTCTTGGTAAACTTAAAGGAGGCTAATGGTATTCAGTAGCTTTGGCAACATGCACATTTTTTGTCAGAGTCTGAGTACAAGAAAGGCTTATTGGACTCAATAAGTTTGAATTTTAAATTTCTAAGACCTGCACAAACATTGCTTTTCTAAAGGGAGCATATTGGTAGAAGTAATTTTCTGAAGAACAGATGTGAAAGATGGGTCCCTTTGTTTATGCCCATATGTGCTTTAGACATGACAGGTGTCATAGATAACAGGTGAACTTTCGCATTCAGAGTTATTAATATCTACACCAAAACTGTAATCCAAATGCCCTTCTTAAAATACTGATTGAATTTAGCTTATCAGTCTAATCTGTTTCAGGAACTGCTATATATCTGTGTTTGTGTACTGTATTTCAGTGAGATTAAAGAATACAAAAATCTGAATTAAAGTAATTGTTTGATCTCTTGACCTAAAGTGAAGTGGTTTATTTTTTGAGATTTAGAAAATTTCTTTCTTTGGTCAGGTTTGATACAAGGCAGTACCAGGCTCCTACCTGACATTTATGAAGTAGCAGCACTGGACAGGCTTCATTTACAAATTGTTTCTGTTACAGGACTGGAAGGACTTGACTGTTGTTACAAGAATTCCTGAAACATGGTGGATTATTATGAAGTTCTGGGAGTGCAGAAGCATGCCTCAGCAGAGGATATCAAAAAAGCGTGAGTGTCACTGGTGTGGATGTTATAGATTTTAAGGGACTGATATAATTACATGGTTTTTGGATTCACATTTTGTTGTCTTCCTGTGTTCTTTTGCAAATTCATGCACGTGCTACTTTATCAACTCATATGTTTGAACTGTGATCTTGGATAATTGCAAAGCCCATCAACCTAAGTGCAAGTTTAGTTTTGCCCCTCTAAGTAAGTAGTTATGAACACCTTGCCTAAAATGTTTCATTTGATGGTAGGAATTGTGTGCAGGTGTAGCTGTCAAAGCAGGCATTGATCTTAAGATGTCACAGTCTGTGTTCTTGGAGCTTTATCAACTTTTAATGTACCAGATCCTTCTTGGTGCCTCCCTTGGTTAGTTATAGTACTGAATAATTACAGAGCTCTAAGGAGAAGCCCACAGCAGAGATATTTTGGATTGTTTTGCTTAGGTCTCACAGATGTTGATCATCAGAAATGCACATCAGAATAAGTAAGGAAACCAAACCTACTTTCTAATTTAATACATACCTGAATAGGTGGTTCTTTGTGTACCTGCAGGATCTGTTGGTCCCAACATCTAAATGCAAGATACAAAGCACCAGGAATTTCTTTCTTCAATCCCTGACAACCTGTTTTATTTGTATAGCATATTCTGTTATTTCAGAGCAAAATATCCTTTGTGTTCCTTCCACTCAGGTACCGTAAATTGGCGCTAAAATGGCACCCTGATAAAAATCCAGACAATAAAGATGAGGCGGAGCGGCAATTTAAGCAAGTAGCTGAAGCCTATGAAGTCTTGTCAGATGGTAAGTATTTTAAAAGGGTGCTTGAACTGCCTTTCTCTGTCCTGGGAATCAGACTGAAAATGTTGATCAATGGTGGTTTGAAGGGATATTGTAATTTTAGTTCACCATCCAACTTGACTACTTCCTTTTCAAAACCAAGGAAAGAGAAAGATGGTTGCAGATAAGACAGAATAAGCAGAAATTTTGAAACAAAAATTTTAGAATCTCCCTAAATAGGTAACCAAACTACTAGAAACTGAAATTCAGTGTCTGCTAGAAATTTCTGTGGAGACTTCTGTGAATCCCAAGATTAATTTTATCTTAGCAAGTGAGGCCAGCATTATGATCAGTATAGGGGTATTGTTTTTATCCTCTAAAGTCAGGCTTGACCAACTCTGAAGTACCCACTGTTGGACCTACAGCTTTTAGCTTTTGTAACAGTACATTAGTCTTGACAAAGCCCAGGCATACTGTAAACCTTGCTGAAAGTTTTGGTTTCATTTGAGTGAGTTCTGTAAATTCAGTCAACTGTGATACTAAAGATAGTATTTATTTTGAATTGTTCTGAAAGAGGTGTTTAGCCTGACCCATGTAGTGCAGGAATGCAGTTTACAGTTCACCCGTGTCTTTTTGCTTGAAGAGTATCATTAACTTTTGCCAATGTTCTGACAAAAGCTGCCTGAATCATAACAAAATGATTTAAGCTACTTTGATTATTTTCCTCTGTAATTGACTGCAGCTGTCTATATGCTATTTCTGAAGTGTCCTTGATTTCACCTGAGACAGTGAGCATGGGAAAGCTATATTTAAAGCTCTAGTAGCATCTAGATTACCTCTCAGAGTTCAGCCTGATTTAGTGAGCTGCAGTCTTGTACGCTGTATTTCTTTGCTTGGTTTTGATACTTAATTAACAGGGGAGAAAAATAACTTAATTTATCATTAGTTCATTGTATACTTGTCTTTTAGAGTACTTTATCCTGCTTAAGCTAATTTTTTTGAGCGGGATAAAAATAGAATACTGATCTGATTGTTATACAGATCTCCAAGTTCTTTGGAAACAGTGCAGTGCTAGAATTTTAGAACAGCTTCTAAAAGTGCTGCCAGTTTTTGGATCTATGCCAAATCCTAAGTTACTGGTGTCTTAACAATCATTTGTGCAGCAGGGATACCAGAATCCTGAGCCCAGTGAATAAGAGGCAGTCAAATGTTCTGCAAACTTAATGAAATTTTCTGACACCATTACAGGCTTGAATGATGACAGATTTTGGCAGAAGAATAGTTTTGTAAGGGATTACATAAGCAAAAAAAAAACTGAAATTGGGTGATCATTGAACACATTTCCCTTGTGGGAAACCTTCTGGTTTCAAAAGTGGAACATTTTTCAAGATGAATTTTGGTCTTTGTGAGCCCTCAGGGCACACTTGCTGTTTCCTGCCCGTGACAGTTTATCTACCTTGCTGCTTTCTTCTTCATAATTTGATGGGTAGGTTAACCTCCTTTCTTTAAAAAACTGCTGTCTAGCAAAGCAGTACAGAAAATGTATTGAGCTTTGGGGATTTGTCTCCATGTGAACCTGTTGCAAGCTATTTGAGATGATAACCATTATATAAAATTTTAATTCCTGTTAGTCAGAAGTATTTTACTTTCCAGCATCTGTTTGAGGTAACTGCATGTTCTTTCAGTGATGCTGTTTAAATTTTAAAAACATCTTTCACTGAGGAGATTCCACTGGGAAAAATCATAATAATATTAAGAGAATAAAATCAAATGCCCTGATTGGTTTTTGACTGATACTTCTGCAGCAGTACAGGCAAAGTGAGTTGTCTACCTCTTTAAGGTCTTCAGGTTCCCTTCCAGTACCAAAGTGCCATCTGATCTTGTGCAGTAATGTAAAGTTCATTTTTCTCTCCTTTCTCATGGATACTGGCTGGTCTGCAGTGAAAATTAATAGTCATTCCATGCCTTCTAAAATAATAGAGAGCAAGCAGTTTGAGTCACATCCTTCCATGGCATTTTGGAACATCACTTCATCCTCCATTCCATATCCCACAATTAAACTAGCAGAAGTGGTTATAATTAATTTTATGGGTTTTGCAGTCACTCGTATAAACACTGTCTTCCGTTCTCATAACTGCCCCACAATGGGCTCGGTCTTGTGCAATAAAAGGAAGAGAGGCAATGGTCAAAGTTTGCAAGAGGGAGAGAAGGAAGGGAATGCTTGAACACTGGAACTGTTCTCCACACAGCTTGTAGAATCTTATGTAAGATAAGATCACAGGTTTGTTCAGGCAAGATGTGACCAACTTCACGATTAGACTTGTGTGGAGGAGCAGGTTGAAGTCCAGAGGTCCTTCACAACCTTAAAACTTTTCATGGTAGCTGTCCAAAGAAGAAATCTGCCATATCCTTCTTAAAGGCAAATTTCCATGTGAAGTTTGTCCTTAAACCAAACTTTTTCTCATATATCAGGACTGGACCTTCTGCAACTTACTGGTTTTAAGTTTGAAGTTCAGTAACTTTTTTCTGAACTAAATTGCTTTGGCAGTTCTTGTTGAAGATGGTCAGCAATTATATGCCAGAACTTTCTTAAATAAGCTAGCTTTGAGAAGATGTTTAACTGAGAATGCTGGTGAAGTGTTTTTGTTTTTTTACAAAACCAACAAATCTGTTTACTGATGTGATGTACAACTTCTCCTTGTAGCTAAAAAGCGTGACATCTATGACAGATACGGAAAAGAAGGCCTAATAAATGGAGGTGGAGGTATGTTGACAACCAGCAGTTTTTTGTTTTCTCTGTTTTCTGTAGCTTTCTTTTCAAGACAGGAATTTAGAAATGTCTCTATTAGGGTTTAAAATTCAGTCTTCTAAAAATCGAGATTGCAATTGTTTTACAGTTTTTCTAGTTAGTATGAAAGGTATTGCTGTTATCTGAAAACAGCAAACCTATTATAAAAAATAAAAAAGTAATGTGTATACTTAAATTGAATGATATCTGAAAGAGAAATCTGAACGATAGCTGAAGGAAAATCTTGTAAATTGATTATATTTCCGGATAATTGAAGTGCCTTATAGGCCTGAACTTTCTTATTAGTAAAGGTAGCTTAAATTTAACTTTTTTCCTTTTTTTCTTTTGTTTGCAGGTGGAAATCATCATGATAATCCATTTGATTTTGGATTTACATTCCGCAACCCAGATGATGTCTTCAGGGAGTTTTTTGGTGGAAGGGACCCCTTTTCATTTGACTTCTTCGGTAAATGATCCCCTGGTTTTAGTTACGTGTGTATAAAGTGTGACTAAAACTTTACTCGTACAAAACAAACATAGCTAATGTAGTTTTAATAGAAATTGTTCTGAAAATGAGGCAAACAACTGGTATTTTGTATTATATTTGAAATCTTCGTTTCATACCTGTTTCTTGGTTAATTTTATTGTATAAGAATAGGTATGGCTTGCCGATTAATGTTTTGTTGGAAGGCCTGGTTTGCCAAACCTTATCCAACCAATTGGTTTGCTAACCAATGTCTCTAAGTTGAAAGGAAATCATGTTCAACAGAAAAAGTGCATACTGGAATTTTCTCTTGAGAATTTGAGCAAGCTAACTTAGTCTGTTGATTTCTCTCTTTTGATCTGTAAATAAATCAAAATAAAACTTTGAGAGCTTCTGAACAGGACAGCTTAACTATTACTGTTACACCATAACTCTCAGTGTGAACTTGTGTCCTAGCAGGACCAATTTTCTGCTATCAGAAAAGGAAAAGTTGCATACATAATCTAGATATTCTCCCAAATTCATGTCACTTGTTTACTTGGGGTATAGAGCCTTTAGAGACTCAGTTAAAATAGTTCTTTAGGCCTGAATTCTTCATTTAGGAAGCAGTATGTGGTAAAAATTGTCGAAGTAATCTTTTTGCCCTCATGCTGAAGGTCTTCTGGCTTGTGTTGTTGCTTGCTCTAGCAAGCAGAAGGTCTTTTCAGAGGTGCTGGGATTCTTATGCAATCTCTGTGTGTATGTTCAACTCAGCAAAATGCTGACCTATAAAGGAGAACAGATCCTGTGTTCAGTATTTTCTGTGAGAAAGTTTCATACTGAAAGCTGCAAGAAGTATACTTGAAAAACAGGCTTTCTTCCTGTTCAGTATGTAGATACTGATTTAGCTCTGTAATAATGTTTGTAAATGTTTTAATATTTTTTAAAGTAATTTATTGTCTTTGGCAGCATTAAGGGGGTAGTTCAGCTCAGATTTTAATTATATCTTTCTCTGGTTTGCTATTTCAGGATCATCAGCTGTTAGATGACTAATGAAGGATTAGAAAGGGGGTTGAAGGGCTAGAGGTTGAATGCAGTAGAATGGTAGTTGATGAATTAGATTAATAGCTAGAGGAAGAATCTGGTAGAAGATAGGCAGCTGAATTGGGCAGTTGAATCCAGTGTGAAATCAGCTGAAAGTAGGAAAGGGAAGATTGGAGTAAACTTCTAGCAAAATACTGATGAGTGGAATGGGCTCTGAACTTGGTAGATGCAACTTCTTCACTGTCTGCAGTAAAATAAGAATTTTAGGAAGTACTACACAAGGATTTCAGTTTAGGTGAGTGACCTCAGCACTGGTTAGGACACATCTGGAGTACTGGGTTCACTTCTGGGCTCCATAGTAAAAGAAACAGCTACTGGATTACAGGAGCTTCTCTGAAGAACAGATGGGGAGAATTGCTGGAATTGTTCAGTATGGAGAAAGCTTAGGGTAAGAGTTTCATCAGTGCATTGGGAAGGGAGTGGAGAGATCAGAGGCAACGACCACAAATGGAAGCACAGGAGTCACAGGAGTCTCTGCCTGAACTTAAGGTAGCACAACTGTACTGTGAGGGCAGCAGTGTTGGGGCAGGTTGTCCAGAGAGGTTGTGGAATCTCCATGTTTGGAGATAGCCAGAAGGCGTATGGAGTGGTCCTGGAAATCCCACTCCAGTTAATCCTGTTTGAGCAGGGGGTTGGACTGGATGAGCCCTAGAGGTCCTTGTCAAACTCAGTTGTTTTGTGATTGTGTGGTAGAAAACCTGGAAAAATCTGAGCAAGATGTTGAGTAGGAAGCTAGTGTGGAGGAGCTGGGAGAGAATGTTCGGTTCTTTTGTTTATTTTTTGATTGAAGATCTGTTAAACAAAATAGTTGGTTCTCAATCAAATATCTTTATAGTACATTGTATAGGTGAGATACTACTAGTGGAAGACTGAGATGGGCTCTGATTGTGTTTGTATTTACTTCATCAATACTAGCAGAAGACAACTTGCTGTCTGAAAATGTCAGTATTCATGATTGAGGTTAAAGCCGTGAAGTTTAGTTCTGCTGTTAAATAAATGATGGGCTTAAAGAAAGCTGAGGCCCTGCCTTTTGGGTTCCTTAGAAGGAAGACTGTACAGCACAGTGCACAGAGCTATCCAGCTTGTCAAATGGAGGTCCCACTGCTGCCAGTGTTCCATGGGATGCTGCAGTAGCCTCTCCTATAGAGGCTGTGGTCCATCTTGCCTTGGGGCACCAGTGACTTTGCAACATACCTCTGCACTAGTGACCTAGAGAGACATTCTCCCCCTGCTTAACACACAGATTTATTTATTTATTCAAAAGCAGGTTATCTGCTTCATGTATTGATCACTGTCTTTGTCAGCTGGAAGATAAAGAGTGCTGAGCACAGGCTCTGCTTCTTGCCAAGCTTCTGGCAGTGTCAGCAGTGTTGTGTGCACTCCAATTAATGAAAACTAATCGTTCCTAAGCTGCCTCTCTACTTTCTGGGGATAGTTGCAGTGTCAGTGACCAGAGGCCTAAAACCCTCAGTTAAGCTTTGGATTTTGAGCATAAGCTCTTGAAATTTTTCTAGTTGGAAGGTTTCAAAGTGGGCACTTTCTTATTTTTTTCTTTAAGATGTTTAAGACATTTTCTAACATGGGTAATTGTGACTCCATTTTTTTACACCAGTTTCTGTAAAAAGTGTTTGAATTGGTCTTTGCACATAAATTAATGTTTCAAGATAGTACAACATAAAAATATGTATGCTTTCAGCTTAATGTAGTGCATTTTATAATTCCAAAAGCAAGCGGTAGAATTGCATGTATAGCATGAATATTTGTATTGGTGAACTGCAGCCCATATAGGCTCTGTTGTGTTGAAACACTAGTGGAACAGTTCTGTCCTGAATAATAAGATAATTTATCTTCTAAAAATGAGGAGTTTTCAACTTGTTGATGAGTTTTCTGTGGAATTATTAACTTCTTAAGGAGCTACTCAGCTTATAATTGATATTCTAAGCCACTAAATAAGTACTGAGGTAATGTTTTCTAAAAATGTGTACTGGTGGAATCAAAGATGAAATTGAATAAATACTTTAAAACATATGTACTTTTTATGCAGTTTGAAGTGGCTTGTAGTGAGGCCCACAGAATGCAGGTGGAACTCCCTATATCCTGATTGTCACTGAGTATGTAAAAAGCGGCATCCATATGCATAGTTCCTGTCGATTTATGGATGTGAAGAATTTCTGAAATGGTGCTATGAATTGAGTCTGTTCAACTCTACTGAACTATACTGCACTGCTCTTGCAGTTACAGAAAGTTTTCTTTATAAACAGAGACATCTTTATTCATATGTAGAAAAGAGGAGAATGTAGATTTTTAAATGATGAGTCCTTTCAAGCTTTTCAAATGAAAATCTATAATACTGTTGGAGACAGCTCTGAACACTTCAGAATGGAGCAAAGTTAATGTTAGGTGCTGTGTGTTGCACTGGAGACAGTCCCAGTTTATTTTCACTGTTTCTTTCAGGCAAATTCTTTGTAAATCTAGGAGTGCATGAAGGCAAGGACTTTAAAACTTGATCTGATGCTATGACAGATGTTTAACTCTTACTCTGACATTTGTGGGTTAGCTTTTTGTGGCACATGGTTACAGCAGAGTGTGTATTCCTGGTGAGCTCTCCTAGGGATAGTTTTTAGCCTGTGCCATATGGATGCATGGTGATCTTTGTGACAGGAGGAAAAGTTGGTGCTTCCTATGCAGCAATAGACTTTGCATTGCAAAGTGCTGCCTTGGTGTAGCAGTGTTGGTGATCTGCTGTTCAGTCTGTCCCACACACCTCTGACTCTGGCTGCTCTTTGACATGGGAACTCATTGTTTACTCTTAATGTAGGGATTGGTTTCTCATGTCAGTATACTTAAACTTTTATACTTCACCTATATCCTACTCCATTTATGCGTGCTGCTTGGCTTGATTTGGTTTGTGTTCCTTGTTCTGTTTATTTGTATTTTACTTGTAAACTTTTCAAGGACTTTCTTTCTTCTGTACTTTTAACAGTTCACAGGAGGGAAGGATTCCAGTGTTACCACTGGTAATGGAAGTGCATTGATGAAGGACTGCTGCTTCAGGTTGAGGAACAGAAATTGATGTGGTTTGCTGTAGGCTGGGTTGTGTTTCTGGGCTGTTAAAGAATTGATTTGGTTTTGGTTTAGAGGCTTTCCAGATTCTCACTTCAAGAGTGGGCTCTATGTTGGAAGGTGTTACCAATGAGAAGTTACTGTGGAAAATGGAGATGGTATAATAATATCATAACATTAGCCAACAGAAACTCATTAAGGAGTTAATTCTTTTTTTCCTAGACTAGAAGCTGGATACACACCCTAAACTATCTCAGCTGACTCCAGATGTATCAATGATGCCTGAGTAATTTGTGTATGGGCTTGGAAATACAACTCGGGGCCTGCAGCAGACCCGTATCTTCCAGCAGCTGTGTCTACAAGCTTGACAGGATGGTTTAGGGCATTTCAAACTGCTTCCAGTGCCTGTGTGTGTAGTTAAATGAATCCCATAAGCAGCCAGGCTTTTCTCCCTGGCACAATGTGTTATTGATGTGACATGATGAATTGCTCCTGGTGGATGCCCCTCTAGACTTGGATGTCCCAAGAGAAGTCTGTTTGTGGGATCTCTTTAAACATTGACTGTAGTTTTGACAGTTTTGCTGTGGTTTCTGAATGTACAATTGGAGACGGTTATATATAAATGCCTTTAAATGTTTTTTTAGATTGTGAAGCAGAATTCACAATGTATTTTAATGCATATAAACCCATAGGGATTCTGTAGAGTTTTCCCTTGAGAATTCTGGGTACCTGGTTTACGTGATATTTCAAAATCTACTCTTGGAAATGAAAGGTAAAATGAAACTTAAAACCTTCATACAACTAGTTAGATACAAATATTTGTCCCAGAGAGTATC